AGTTGTTTGCAGGTACTTGTGACAGAACTTGTGACGACTGTTTGAGAGTTTTGAGCTCTATACTTCTTTATATCTGTCACTATTGCAAAGAAACCAGTACTAATACTAATAATTCTTAATTTTATTTGTGTGCAATGTTACACGAAAATGTTTGTTAGCCAAACCTGTTCTTATTATTATTGCTGCGTCGGTGTGCCCCTTCTCGAGGAGGCAACTATAGTTTGATTACTTTATTTACTTGACAAGAACCAGTGGGCTCGTATATCTTCGTTGTGGGTGAGGAAATCGCAAAAACAATGCAAAGCACGATGGTATGAATGGTTAGATCCTAGTATTAAGAAGGTATGCTGGCGGCTTGACGTGTGCGATCCTTCGTTTTTCACACCTCCCAGGTTTCCCGATCTGTGTCTGTACCCAAAATAAACTTATACGTCCCCTGATCAAAATCTATTACAGACGGAATGGTCCAAAGAAGAAGACGAAAAATTACTGCATTTGGCTAAACTTATGCCGACACAATGGCGCACGATCGCTCCTATTGTTGGTCGTACTCCTTCGCAATGTCTCGAGAGGTACCAAAAGCTTCTCGATGAAGCAGAAGCGAAGGAAGGTGCCGATTTGGGTTTAACGGGACCGTCTGGTGACGTGGGTCCAAGTGCCGACGATGTAAGAAGGTTACGACCTGGTGAAATAGATCCGGATCCGGAAACAAAACCCGCAAGACCTGATCCTGTAGATATGGATGAAGACGGTATTTGCAGAGTCTGGTCCATTGGTAGCATTGTGCTGTTCTAAGTGAGAGTATCAAGGCACTTACTTTTATCTTTCGTTTGCTTATAGAAAAGGAAATGCTTTCAGAGGCTCGTGCTCGCTTGGCAAATACACAAGGTAAAAAGGCCAAGCGTAAAGCTAGGGAAAAACAGTTGGAAGAAGCGCGGCGATTGGCCTCGCTGCAAAAGAGGAGAGAATTGAAAGCGGCAGGCATCGAGTACGTACATGTTTATTTGTTTTGCTTTTTCCTATCGTTCGTCTTGTAACGTGACGATGTGTACTATCCAAACACTTTTTTGTCCAAATAGACTGAAGACGAAGAAAAAGAAGAAAGGAATGGATTATAAGGCCGATATACCCTTTGAAAAGAGACCAGCTCTTGGGTTTTACGATACTTCTGCAGAGAGAAATCGTCCTGCTGAATCAGCAATGACAAATGTTGCATTACAAAAGTTGGAAGTAAAGCGTCGCGCGGAATTGCCGATGAAAAAAGACGAAAACGACAAAAAGTGGGAAAAGAGGACAGAGAGGGTGGGGCAATTAGTTTTGTGATGCACAGCTTAATAAAATCAAGCAAGCCGAACAAATAAGCAAACGGAGGAAATTTGTCTTGCCAGCTCCTCAAGTTGGAGAAGATGAATTGGAACAGGTTTGGATTTAACTCAAGTTATATTATTGGCTACTAGATGCGTGTCCTTTTCTGATTTATATTTCGTGCAAACTAACTACCGTCATAGATTGTTAAAATTGGTTTTGCTGGTGAAACCGCAAAAGCTGTTGTTGGTGAAAATGAAGGCTCAACATCACTTGGCCACTACACACCTGCAACAACGTTACCACTGCGAACACCGAGAACTGTAAGGACTGGTGGTGCGCCAACAACACCGAAAACACCAGGCACAGTCATGACACTCAGAACACCTTCCCGTACGCCTGGGCCAGGTATGAGCGTTAGAAATGGTTTGCGTTTGTCTCAATGTGGATATAAAGTACTTATTATTTACTTTTGACATTAGCAAGCGCTGCAGCTATCAAACAACTAAAGACGGGATTGTTGAATTTGCCAAAGCCGAAAAATGATTTTCAAATTATACTACCCGAAGTTGAGGAAACTACAGAGGACGCGGACGACATGCAAGGCGTCGAGGAGGTGCTAGTGATCGAGACCGTAAATTGAGGGAACTGCAAGCTGCCGAAGGTACGTAGCCGTTTGTTAAAGTTTAAAAGTCATAGGCGGACGCGCATAAATAATTAACCTGTTTATTAAATCGACAGAACGAGCTCGTCTTGCACGAAGATCTCAGGCCGTGCGCAACCTCCCGCGACCTGCTACTGTCAACTCACGTACCTTATGGGAGATATCTACTAACGAATCAGCAGGAATGAATGATATAGAATTAATGATATGTGGGGAAATGAGCAGGTTATTAAGCCATGATCTTATCAAGTATCCAGTGGCCGGTAGCAAAATTACAGGCAGTGACTCAGCCCCGCCGATAGAAGAATTTCCGGATGAGCTAATGGCAATTGCAAGACAAACAATTAATGACGAATATCAATCATTAATTCAAAATAACGGATCTGACACACAAGATCGGCTTCTGCCTTCTGACACAGAATTGCAGGCTACGTGGACCAAAGTGTATGATGATATAAATAATGAAGATAATACAATAGAGAAATTGCAGTATATACACGAGGTAAAGTGCAAGTGATAAGCTAGCATTAGGCTAAATATCGTACTGACATTTATATTTATACATCAGATGAATAAGAATAATATGCTTAAATATGCCCAAAGAGCAAGCAAATTGGAAAAGAATCTTGATGTAACTCTGGGCGGTTATAAGGTATGTCTCTGGGCATGGATATGTAGCCTGGTTATAACTTAGTACGCGACTATTAACCAGATTTCCGTTTACATGATTCCAGGCCCGTTCCCAAGCTCTATCTAAAAAACTGCTCGAAACTTTTGACGAACTGCAGCAATCAAAGATTGAATTGGATTCTTTCAAATCTTTAAATATTGTAGAAGGGGATGCCATGCCTAGACGCATAGCGGTAAGTTTGAGTCTTTTTCCCCCTATAGGCTCGACGATACAAGTGTTCGAATTTCTTAGTATGCTATAATTTATAATACAGGGTCTACAAAAGGAAGTAGAAGATCTCGCAAAACGAGAACGTGAGTTGCAAGAACGATATGCAAAACTGTCAGCTGAAAAGGAGGATGCAATTCAAAGGGTCAATGCACTGCGTGCTTCATCCAGTTCGGGTAGTTAGTTCTTGACGCTATGGTAATTTATCTACTGTTTGAAATAAAAAAAGAAAGAAAAACAAGAAAAGAGAAGAGTTTATTTATTGCAGAGATTATTTAGTTGCGCCAGAGGTTCGACGAATCTTCCAGACAGCCAAGTTTGAAGGATGAGCCCTCAATGCCGACCGCAAGGTTCGCACTGACTTAACCGCTGCTAAAAGCTGAAAAGATTTTGGACTCTAAATTACTGAACGCCCTCAGACTGTCCATGATCAATATTAAAGTAAATCACTAAATATGTCAATAGATTTACCATCAATAAGACGATGAGCAGGCAAAGGCCATAGCTATGAATTTGACGCGATTGTAAACATTACGATTTTGTCATCTGTCGGAATGCTATATTAAAATTACTCGCTGGAATACATTGACTCTCGCATATCAATTACCCATAGCAATTTGTAACTTGAATGGTGTATTAATTTTTAAATTCACATGGTGAAATTAAAATGTTCACGACTACTTATTCCCAACTCCTTATTCAGCTGTTCTTTCATATAATTCAACTGCCTTTTTTAGCTATTCCAATACCATGTTTGTAGTAATACCAATATTATATTGTGTAACAACAAATCCTTGTTCAACTGCTTTTTCATATTAATATGGGGCAGACGGCAACAAAACCTAACACAAAGTAACAGTGAACATTTGATCATGTGAGCTAAAAGAGACTGAACCAATTTAGCGAATTCTATAACATGATTAATATAGGAATATGTGTATATTAAAGTATTAATATTAATATGTATCAGATGAATTATGGAACCAAAAAATTATAGAACAGAAGTATTTTGAAGAAAGAAGCAGGTGAAAAGATTGCACCTTATATTAATATTTTTAAACTATGAAAGTTATCAAGAGGAGGACAAATTTACAAGGTCACTTGAGTATTTTGCTGCTGTTTATAAATTATAATTAAACAACTTCAGACTATAGCATATGAAATATGACAATGGCTCTGGGTTAACGCTTGGAGGACTTCCTGGAACCATAAATGTAAGGGCAGACCTCAAGCCATTGATTCGGCTGATCTCACACTCCGTCTAAGGAAGTCAACAAGCTGAGGAACGTTAGATGCAGTTTGTCGAGGCAATAGTCACGGGCGAGCGGATAACTACTGTCTCGGTTTGAGATCTAGCTGCGCCGTCGTAGGAATGTGGCTCACCTCAACGATAGCTAAAACGTAACAAACAGTTAATGACCTTTAATTAGGCTTTTACGTGCTGACGGATTGTATACGGATCGCACACACTAATCCTGGATAATTAACTATTCTCGAGAAAACGAATGTTACTCTCTACCGGAGGATTAATTCGGTAGTCTGTAGTTGGGGTCTTAGTAAGAAAATAACGCGTTGAGGAAATTATCTAATGCACTCGATCGATCACGGGACAAGTATTATGACCGATCTTGCCGTTATACGGATTAATGGTTTAAGAATATACGAATTATTCAGGGAAAGAATCAATATTTCAGAGTAAATGGATACGCGTTTATTGATAAGAAAATCGAACGTCTTCGATGTAAGTAATTAAATATTGAATTTGAATTCTGCGAACACATCGATGCTAAGTAAATTCTACGCTGCTTCAGAACACTAATTAATCTATATTGAGAATCGCTATTATTTCTAATTTTAATCTATTTGTTATTACTATTCTGCTGTCCGTGCGACCTACTGCGGGCTTGTGGCAATGTTGCTGCCACATTCTGTCCACTTGACACCATTAACCAGCAACCAGCACCTCTCCTTTGGTGATTAGGTACCCACTCTCTGGGTCCAAATGTGCTTGTCGCAACATATTATAGTCACCTTTTCCACCTGGTATGCTAGTATGGTTATCTCCTCAGCCTTTTATCATCTTTATACTCAATATTAGTCTGTCATTACGAGGTTGAGAATACAAATTAAACCAGGTTGTAATGTGTAAAATGTTCAATCAAGTCCTTTACAAATGCTTTGATTGATGTGAGGTATTGGCGAGCGTATGTTGATAGTAGTGATCCATCGCTATTCTAGCACCCTTTCACAGCCGTTTGATTATCAAGATCGAAAAATCCACTATAGTTTTTTCGAAGGAATTCTTAAAGCACCGAGGAGAATGAGAAATATGACAATATCCTTCAAGATTGATCCCGCTCCTAACCTCTTTCGTCGTTTCGTAGGCGATATAGAGTTTGTCTTTCGCATTCCGGAGAAATGTTTCACGAATATTATCTCCTGTAATGATTTATCTTCGGCTTTTACGTGTTGATATATACGTTGGGTTAGAGACCAAAGTGTCGACGAAGCTGTAGGATATAATTTTGAAACACGCCCAAAGTGCAAAATTTTTCCACAATGTTTTTGACCGTGCGAGCTCTGCTGATTTCTGAGATTAAAAACTTCCGTCTCTAATCCAAAGGAAGTTGGAATCGACTGAGTAGAATATGGGTTCTAGGGTTTTCTTGCTATCATTATTGCTATCATTATATATATATATATATATTTATATTTAATAATGTCCGAAATTATGTCGAGGTGATGGATAGAAAGCGCACTAAAATCGAGCGTATACGTATTTGGTTTTATACTATTTTGCGGAAGCATTGCTTTGTTAAGTAACTCCCGAACAACTAATCTTTGCTGTCTACCTTTTCGAGGAATTTTTCCTGAAAGGTAAACCGAGGATCTGTATACACAGCTGATTGGCTTGACCTAAGGTCGCTAGCGCTGAAATCCACTGAGATAAAATATACTGCTGAATCTCCTCTTTGGTCAACTTGCGGGTCCCAGGTTGAGTTTTATGCTAAGTAGAAATAAAGCGTTAAACGTATATCAATGGAGCTGGCTCGTCAAATATTAAGAATATATTTCTAGCTTCGCTAATAAAGCTTCGTAAAACGAAAGAAATTATGAGGTGGATTCATGCAAATTATTTCGTGCCTCATAGCTCAGTGGTCTAAACCATGGGAACACTGCGTCATATTCCTCTCCTCGCTAATGGCGACACGAATAATTTGACGATCATACCACCATAACGAAAATATCGTAGGATATTTCTATACTTTCGTCGTGACAGAGGTTATCCTTATTTTCTTGGCCGTTGCTAGTATCGAAGGTAAATGATCTCTTCATTTATTGGTAAGCCAGTATTTTTCCCGAGCTTCACTTTCTTAGCATATCGTAATAACTTCTTATGCATATTCCGTTTAGAGGCTTTGGTTAAAAGATTTTTTACTACGAATGGTGATGCCTTACTATTAGACGCATTCATTCTTGGCTTGCTTTTTGTTCATCTTTTTCCGCAAAGGTTATATTTTTATTGTAACACACATGATTTTTATTTTGAATCTATTAATAGTGAGACATAATACATATGCTAATCAAAAGTTTTTGAAGCATCGTAAGTCCTCGAAGCTTTGGAGGGTGATGCTTCAACAGGTGATTCATTTATGCCAATATGAACTTTAGTATAAGGAACGATCTTCTGAATCATTAGATAATAGTCCATTATTCGACTCTGTTATACCAAAAATAAAGTAGATGCGTGAATATGTAAAAAACAAAATGCGTCAAGGGTGAAAGCTATCAAAATATACGTGTATACCTTAAATAAATAAACATTTTCGATTACTTCCTTCAAAATGTACAATTGATCCTTGGTATTTGGTATATTAAATTCAGTTAAAGTATCAACAACATATAGACCTTCACTTGTTCGATGCATTACATAAATTGTAAACGTTCGCTCTAAGTTTGATAAAAAGATCGTAAGGTTTGCAATAGATTTAATAAAATATTTAGTATTAGTCCTAAATATTAATACGGTAGACGACAATTCCATATGATTCAACAAAGGATACTTGTTGTTCAGTAACCCCACGTGATAGTCAATGAATTTTATTTTCTAGACACCCGTCACATTCTGCAGAGTGCCAAGTTATTTATAATTTATTGGCCAATGACCAGGGTCTGAAAATAGAACATAGATCAGATTGGTATTAGTATGATATATATATTCATTATCATTATTGTCAATTTCATTATTGACCTCTCCGTGATTTTTATTTTCACATTAAGAAATATCAAAAGTAATAAGACATTATTACGAGATAGAATACAATTACTTCCTGGACCCAATGCGGGTAAGCATTTCGCGAATAGATTTGATGTGGCGGAGTACGAGGCTGAAACCAATCTTCAATTTTTGCTCTTTTGGGAACTTCATTATAGTTCTAAAGATTAAAATTGTAGATGGTAATGGATTAGAAACCAATACAAACAATAAACAATAGTTATAGCCAAATAATGCATACCTGATTTTCAGGAACCGGAGCCTCTCTCTTTGAAGATGTCCCGCCACTTATACTTCCAATACCTTGGCCAATGAATGTCGGATTGTAGAGATAAACTTGCTTCTTGGTATGTCCTGACTCCCAGTTTCGTGCAATTTTGTAGTCGGGTTTAGGATCCTAACAATAAAAGATGTTGTTTGAATATTTTGACACACCAACCCAATTATCTATAACCCCATAATTTTCTTAACCCATACTGTTGGATCAGCTTAGGAACTTTGAACATCAAACAACCTCAGGGAATTGTTTGTGCTCCAACAGGGCCGGTACCGAGTCAGCTTAGGAACCTTGAACACAGTAGACCTCAGGGAGCCGCCT